CTCTCTCTCTCTCTCTCTCTCTCTCTCTCTCTCAAGGATTACATAATAAATCTGAACGAAATGAAGGAAAGGCGAGTGAAATCAAAACCCGGTGCCAAACATCCGACACCATCCGTAACGACAGCACCGGGTGTTGAGTGCAGCGACTCGTCAGTGGACTCGTCGACGACGACATCCACCAGTGATAAGATAGCGGTTTACGACCACTACATAGATATTACCGACACATTCCCCGACATCAATATCATAGACATCTACAAAGAGATGAGTAGTTCCCTAGACTATGTCTGCAACAGCAGCCCTACCGACAGTTTACTAGACTATGACAGCAGTCCAACCGGTGGTACTCCCGAACCCGACCTATCAGTGGTGCCGCTCAGCCCTACCTTAAGCACGACATGCGGTCCGCTATTCAACCAATTAGAGGCCAATAGACTGAGCGAGTTATTGAACGCGGCGCTAGTGTTTAGTACCAATAGAGCTGGTAGTAATAATCCCGTTCCCGACCCCACCCGTCGTCGGGTATCGTTGGCCCTGACCTACGATGACGTGTACAAAGTGATGGGTCACGCGCTGGAGGCAAAGGTTATCAGTTGCGTACAATTGTGTCAACAATTATCCCCATTTGGCGACATTTGCGATAACGATAGGATCTCGTTAATAAAGTACGGCTGTTATGACATGTTTTGCGCAAGGGCACTTACCGTGTACGACCGTGATCGCGACTATTGGACGCATTCTATGGTAATTATTAATTGTACATTTTATTTTGTTTGATATTTAATTAACATATAGTTTATTTGTGGTATTTTATTAGGATAATGATGAATCGTGTATAGTTACCCTGAAACAAGTGTTCCCGCATTTACGGGAACGTTACGGGCATTTATTTCAAACACTTTGCCGGGAAGTAGACTCGGACTCCGTTGTACTCGATCTGGTATTTTAATTAAACTTGGTATTATAAATAATGTTTTTAACACACGTTATTTTTTACCTAGTTAACGGTAATTATATTGTTCAACTCGGATCGGCCTATGCTAGTGCACCGAGATTTAGTAAAGTAAGTTTTATTATTTTATTATTATTATAAATGTTATTTAATTAGTAACACGGTTATTAATTTAATTACTTGTATTTTTACATAGATTTCAGCAAAACATTTACATGTATTTATTAAGACGTTATCTACTATTGAAATACAGCACTGAATGTGAGGCCGAATACAAATACCAGACACTAATGAAATGTTTGCGGGAATTAAATGTGTTGGGAGTAAAACACAGGGAATATATCGAGTTTACTGATGCCCGCAAAATACGCCAAACCCTATTGGTTGAGATATTTGATTTGAAACCCTCTATCACAGAATAATGTGTTATTTGAAATTTATTAATCATGATCATTTATAATTGTTATAATTGCAGTACCCAAATAAGTGTGTTATTTATTAATTTATGTATTAATTTGATATCATTTTTACTTGCTTAGATTTTATTGTTAAGAATTAATTAATTATTAATTAAATTATGCGTGTTCATCAATTTTTTCGTTTGTATTCAACAATTGCTATTTTATTTTTTCTATTTTAACACTTCATTATCTTTACGTTTACTAAAAACCAGTTTTAGCTGAAATACATAACACGTGTTGTAAAGGAAACGGAGTTAGTGTTCATTGTTTGCCTGTTTTGATGTGAATTCAGTTCAATATTTTTGTTATTAAAATGTTTTCAATCAATAAATTAAAGAGTAATTTAAATGTAATGAAGAGTTTGTGTGAAATAATAGACAAAATAAAATAGCAATTGTTGAATACAAACGAAAAAATTGATGAACACGCATAATTTAATTAATAATTAATTAATTCTTAACAATAAAATCTAAGCAAGTAAAAATGATATCAATGCAATTCATGTAAAATCAGTGATAAAATGCTAAACAATTGTCACATCATTACTAAATCTGATGACAAGACACAACGAAAAGATGATTTAACTTTTCATCAATTAAGTCATTCAGGAATTAAATCATTTAAATGTGATTTTAATAATTGTAATAAAGTTTTCGCACAAAACGCCGGCTTAATTCGGCACAAAAATGGCGTTCATTTAAATGTGAAATTTATTTGTGATTTCAATAAATGCCACAAAAGCTTTTCGAGAAAAGACCATTTATTTCAACACAAAAGTTGTGTTCATTTGAATGAAAAAAAATTCAAATGTAATGAAGAAAATTGTGGCAAAAGTTTTGGACAAATAGCAAATCTAATTAAACACAATCGAATACATTCGGGAGAAAAACCATTTGTTTGTCATTTCAATGATTGTAACAAACGATTCGCAAATAAAGGATATATGAATGTTCACATGAAAAGACATTTGAATATAAAAAGTTATAAATGTATTCATAATAACTGTAATCAACGCTTTGTTACGAAAGCAGAATTAAAGATTCATTCAATATTCAAACATTTTGTTAAATAATCTTAACAATAAAATTGTCAAATTTAATAACTATTATTGAATAAAAACTATTAACAAATCTGAAAATATCATTTATTTGAAAATTTTATTTATAATTTACACTGTGTATTTGGTTTACTGAAAATTTTGTATGAAAATCCAATATAATAAAATATATTAAATATGAATTATATTTTTACCTTTTTTAAATATACACAGTAATACATTAATGATAAAATGAATCAAAATTTTCTATGTCCAAATTTGATATTATTGAAAAAACGGAAATAAATACACATATACAAAACATGTTACAAACGACATTATCATTTATGATATAAGTTATATCATATATAGCGTTGCCAAATCATATTTTGAAAATCCTGTATAAATGTAAGAAAATTGTCAAAAATTCCTGTATTTTCCTGTATTACAGCTTATTTTTGAAATATTTATTCCTGTATTCTTCAATGAACATGAAAATTTCTTCCTGTATTAAGTGAAAATTCCTGTATAATACAGGAAGTTCCTGTACGTTTGGCAACGCTAATCATATAACTTACTGTAATTTATATGATATAACTCAACGAGAAATTATGGTTTATTTATAACTATAATTTTGTTGCATAGATGACAGTCCGATAACATTCAGCCTAACATTTATTACATAATTAAACCAAAATTATGTAAATAAAACACTAAACACAACTTATTTATTATGTAATAATTGTGACATTTATTTTTTTTGTAAATTTGTGAAAACTCGCACAAAACAAGCAAAATGTTTATTTAAATTATTGAAAATATTAGTGAATATAATTGTATAAAAATAACTTAAATTAAACTTAAACTTTATATTTATGTAAAGTAATGAATGAAAACCTCACCCAAAATAGCCAAAAACTAAAAGCATTTATTATTTGAGTTAATAGTGACATATGTTATAAGTAATAACATAAGCCCTGCAAACAAGTCAAAGGCTATTAGAGAATTATAAAAATCTTGAAAATGTTTTTTGTTGAAATTTAAATTTGATAGTAAATTGTCGTAACCGTTAGTGTTCTATCGCTGCCAAGCGGTGGCGATAGTATCGATTCGGTGTGAGAACGGGAACCGATGGTCAACGATTAAGTGACAAATAGTGTTGTGAACCGAGGGTTGATGTAGTCAGGAATCGCTTATGTGATAAGCGGTTACTAACTTATACCACTTTACCTGTAGTCTAGTGTCGATCAATTGAGCGGAACTCTGCGGGAACCGCTTTGGTGATAATGATGGTAATGAAGAACACTGTGGTTAACAATCTAACTAGATTTATTTGGTATAACAATACATGAAAAATGGTTAACAATGGTTTGGTTTGGTTGTGAAGTCTTTGTAAGGACTTTGAAGTGTTTGGTCTGAGGTCTGAACACCAACTGAATGATCAGTTGAATGCTTGATGTGGTTTTGTATTTCCTTTCCATCCGGTCCTGTGATGAGAGAACCGTTGGAAAGGGTTGGCTGCTGTTGCTGTGGAGTGAATGCTGTAAAAGGGGTTACTGTATGGGAATTAGGTTATGGTATGTGTTGGTGAGTGGACTGGTGCCGGAATTCCTGGTAAACGGATTAGGTTGAGGACAGTTGAGGGTCAATGAGTGCAAAAGGCTTAGTGATCACGAGAAAATAAATAAGACAAGTGTTTATGAATACAATATTAGTTGAGAAATGTATAGAAATTATACACACAGTATGTATGGGACGTGTGAATACATTTCCCATTACCAAATAGGGATTACATTCACGAATGGATTCATTTTAAATAAATAAACACTTTGATTGAGATTCAGCTCTCAGTTACTCTCTGTATGTTTATAATATTATGTATTTGCATTGATTTTCATATATTCTGTATTATTATTCATTTTTAATAGATATACAAAATATTTTTAACAATGAAACTCTCTTATATACTTTTAACAGTATTTAATTATCTCAAAGTATTAAAGTTAATCGAAAAAGCTAAGATTATATGACTAACTTTCTATATATTGAATAATAGACATTACTGTATATTTTGCACCATAATCATTTATGTTATATAACAGCGTAAATGTTTGTGTTTGTTTCATAAGTTATGAATCATAACAAAAATTATTGTGAAAATTAAGTCATAATTTAAAATCATCATGTTTAACAATTCAATAATAATAATAATAGTAATTTTATTTACGATACTCGGCATCGACTGTACCACTAATGAGTGGCAATTGGTATGGAGTGACAAGTTTGACGGCCAGTATCTCAACAGAACCCTATGGGAAGTGGAGGACGAGTGGAATCGGCGACAGTGCACACGTATGTCAATCCTACCAACACAATAAAAAATTCACCAAGCTCACTTAAACAATTAGTAAATACAATAATTATAACCTAGGTGCAAAAGAACTAAACCTACTGAACTGTTACGCCGATCAGCGCCGGAATATACACCTAATCAACGGCACACTCGCTATAACGCCGGCCCGCGAGTGGTCAACGTATAGCCAAAAGGAACTCAAAGCGTACACATCGGCGGTCATAACAAGTCGCGCGAACTGGACGTACGGGCGTTTTGAAATCAGGGCGTCGTTGCCCCAGGGCAAAATGCTCACACCTGCCATATACATGGAGTCAGTGAACGGAAGTTTGCACTTGGCCACAAACGGGTTCATCGAGCTGGTAACCAATCGCCAGGAGCAGTCAATAGTGGGCGGAGGTTATTATGGCCAATCAAACACGAACGACCCGGAGTACCCGATCGGCGGGAACAGCACCCGTTTAGGCGACTTTCACACCTATACGCTGGAGTGGACACCGGGTTGGATGCGCTGGAGTCGGGGCATTGACTTTAATATCAGTAGGCGTTTGAGTGACGACTACGACCGGCCCTTTAGGCTAGTGATCAATCTGTTTGTTGGCGGTAATACACAGTACTTGTTTCCGGGGCAAACACTAACCGATGATGACTACCGGGGCTGGAAGTGTTCGGCCATTATTGTAGACTACGTACGGGTCTACCAGTGGTCACACGTAGACAACGTTACGGAGAGTACACCACAGTTTGTAGAGTCGCACGTTAACAACGTTACGGTAATAAAGACACTGCCGGCCGATCGGCTATACAGTGGCCACATATGCGAGGCTGCGATGGCGTACGTAAATAAAAACGACCCCGATCATGGTGCCATAACTCTCGTCTACCTTATTGCCGGACTCGTATTGGGGCTAATTTTTATAGCATTACTAGTGTTTAATGTATACACATATGTGACGCAAAAGCGCTTGAAAGCCAAGAATAGTGCCGAGCTTAATGGTGATGGTGATAAATTGACCGAGATTACTTTGAATGATTCCACTGTCAATTATTGCGTTTAGGGGATGTCACATATTACGTTCGGACTTTTTAGAAATTTTAGAAACCCCCCCCCCCACCTTGTTCACAATTGTTTGCATGTAGTCATTTTAATAATATTACTTTTGCAAAATTGTCGTTTATCTCCACCCACCCCTAAGAAATATAATATCGCTATATTTGTTTAAATACTTAAAATAAGTCTATTTATATTCAAAATTAATATATAACTTATTAGCAGGATAAATTGTTAAATATAGTTGTTATCGTCCCTCACCCTCGTTTGCTAAAAGTTTGCTTTGGCCAACACCCCTTCCCCCCAAGTGCGAACGTACTTTGTGAAAAAAGCCTTACCACTTACAACCAATTATTTGTTTTAAATTATTTTATAAATATTAATACAAATACTACCCAGAACCGTCAAAATTGAAGTGTATAATTTAATGCGACATGCTAATTTTATGTAGGTATAAATTATTATAAATAAAATTAAATTGTTGTGACAATTGTCTAATCATTATTGTGGTGTTAATTAACCTCTCTCTCTCTCTCTCTCTCTCTCTCTCTCCATTTCATTTTCAATAAAACTTGTTTTTAGTAACAAAAACTAGTTTTATCTCAAATGCAAAACACGTGTTTTATAGGAACCGGAGTTAGTATTCATTGTTTGCCTGTTTTGATGTGAATTCAGTTAAATATTTTTGTTATTAAAATGTTTTCATTTAATGAATTAAAAAGTGATTTAAATGCAATGAAGAGTTTGTGTGAAATAATAGACAAAATTCAGTGTATTTTGAATACAAATAATAGTGTTTTGTGTGAAGCGATTGAATGCGAAAATAATGATTATTTTTCAATCAATCAAACAATTGATTGCAATTCATGTAAAATCAGTGATAAAATGCTAAACAATTGTCATATCATTACTAAATCTGATGATTATTTCCACTGTTTTTGGCCTAAATGTCAATACAAGACAACAAAAAAGAGGAATTTAACTTTACATCAATTAAGTCATTCAGAAATAAGACAATTTAAATGTGATTTTAATAAATGCAATAAAAGTTATAAACAAAAAATAGATTTAGTTCGCCATCACAATAGCATTCATTTAAATATGAGATTTATTTGTGATTTCAATGAATGTAACAAAAAGTTTGCATATAAATCGGATTTATTTCGACACAAAAGTTGTGTTCATTTGAATAAAAAGAAATTCAAATGTAATGAAGAAAATTGTGTCAAAAAATTCAAACAATTATCACATCTATTACGGCACAAACGCATACATTCGGGAGAAAAACCATTTGTTTGTCATTTCAATGATTGTAACAAAAAATTTCCAGAAAAATCACACCTCAATAAACACATGAAAAGACATTTGAATATTAAACTTCATGAATGTATTTATAATTACTGTAATCAACGCTTTGTTACGAAATATAAATTAAAGATTCATTCAATTAGCAAACATTTTGTTAAATAATCGTTGTTAAAAAATTTATATCATGACCAAATATGAATGAATTTATAAAGGGAAATAAATATCCTTATGCAAAAAATAATAAAAATGAAATTGCCATTTATAGATAATAAAATATATACAGCACAATTAAACCATCATAATCATTTATAATTTTATTAATAAATGTTATTCTAATTGTACAATTCTAAATTTAAAACTAAAATGTCTATTAATTTAATAATAATAATCTTACCTATAATTACGATATACGGCATCGACTGTAACCCCAATGAGTGGCAATTGGTATGGAGTGACGAGTTTGACGGCCAGTATCTCAACAAAACCCTATGGAAAGTGGAGGACGAGTGGAATCGGGGACAATGCGAACGTAGGTCAACCCTACCTCAAACAATCATCTACCAAGCTCAATTAGAATTACTAAATGCCATAATTACATCCTAGGTGCAAAAGAACTAAACCTACTGAACTGTTACGCCGATCAGCGCCGGAACCTACAGATAATCAACGGCACACTTGTTATAACGCCGGCCCGCGAGTGGTCAACGTATAGCCAAAAGGCATTCAAAGCGTACACATCGGCGATCATAACGAGTCGCGCCAACTGGACGTACGGGCGTTTTGAGGTGCGCGCGTCATTGCCCCAGGGCAAAATGCTCAGACCTGCCATCTACATGGAGTCTGTGAACGGAAGTTTGCCCTGGGCCACAAACGGGTTTATCGAGCTGGTAACCAATCGCCAGGAGCTGTTAACCGTGGGCAATCACCAGGAGCAGTTAATAGTGGGCGGCGCATATTATAACGAAACCAATACGACCGTCCGGTACAGCGCCAACAACTGGAAGTACCCGATCGGCGGGAACGGCACCCGAAGTTTGGCCGACTTTCACACCTATACGCTGGAGTGGACCCCGAGTTGGATGCGCTGGTACTTTGACCGCCAGAATCGGGGCATTAACTTCAATATTGGCGGCCGTTTGAGCGCGCGGTATGAGAGGCCGGGCCAGCCGTTTGACCGGCCCTTTAGGCTAGTAATTAACCGATGATGACTACCGTGGCTGGAAGTGTTCGGCCATTATTGTGGACTACGTACGGGTGTACCGGTGGGTACCCCCGGAGGGTAGCGATCATACATTGGCAACGCTATTGCCTGAAGAGTCACACGTAAACAACGTTACGGATAGTACACCACAGTCTGTAGAGTCACACGTAAACAACATTACAGAGAGTACATCACAGTCCGGAGAGTCATACGTAAACAACGTTACGGTAATAAAGGCACTGCCGGCCGATCGGCTATACAGTGGCGAAATATGCGAGGCTGCGATGGCGTACGTATTGAAGACCGAAACCAGAGCGCCGGTTACCGGTGCCCTAACCTACGTCTACCTAATTGCTATACTCGTATTTTGGTTAATGTTGATAGCATTAATAGTATTTATCATGTACACATTTGTGACCCAAAAGCGCTTGAAAGCCAAGATTAAGGCCGAGCGTAATGGCGATGATAATTGTGGTGATGGTAAATTGACCGAGATTACTTTAAATGATAACACTGTCAATTATTGCGCTAATGTTAGTGATGATACTGGTGTTGGTAATGAGCGCAATCGTGGTAGTAAAGGCCATGGTGATTTAGAAATGCTTGACCAACATAATACTACGCTGTAAAAATGGTTATGATTTATTTTATTTTATAATACCTAAGTGCTTTGTTCATATGCTTCAAATAATGTTGCATACTTGTATTTCCCATATATAAAATCTACTATGTACTAGTTTTTATCAAATAATAATTTATAAATATTTAACCATTAAGTAAAAATGTTTATTTCATGTAACAACAAATTATTATTAGATTATTAAAAAAATTGCAATTTACCTCATTTTGATTGTTTTTACGTAACATTAAATATTGTTGCAATATTATTTTGCATCCGCAATACTTTCGTTTATAACGCAACAAAATAAGACAAATTGTGTTTTATATGATACCCGCGACCACAAGATTGACCATAACTATTCCGTTTATGATTAGTAGCAGGAAATATTTGCAACAATTTATTCTTATACCATAATTTCAATTAACCCTATAAGCTTAAACTAGAAGATTAGTTTCCCATTTGCACTTTGAATTTTAATTAAAAATCAATAAAGAATGCTAGCCAGAAAATATTCCATAATGCCTCATAAATAGTTAGATTTATAAATTGGGACATGCAAACGTACTTTTATTTAAATTACTAAATGTCTTTTACATGTGACTATTTACATTTTAAATGACTATTTACATGTGAACAAGTGATAACATAGGGGGAGGCGGTCTAGATTTTATTTTAAAAAAGTGTGCACGTACTTTGTGTACAACGCCTTTTTATTATTGTGGTGTAAATTAATCCCTCTCTCTCTCTCTCTCTCTCTCTCTCTCTC